GGACTGGGAATGGACTGGGATGGACTGGGAATGGACTGGGAATGGACTGGGATGGACTGGGATGGACTGGGATGGACTGGGATATACTGGGATGGACTGGGAATGGACTGGGATCAAACTGGGATAAACTGGGATGGGACTGGGATGGGAGTGGGAATGGACAATTGTTGCCCCCCCAGGTACCCCCACGTGTATCCCAGGTGTCCCCAGCTGTCCCCATTGTCCGCAGGTGTGTCTGTCCCTGTCCCCAGCTGTGTCCCCAATGTCCCCAGGATGTCCCCAATGTCCCCAATGCTCACGTTGGTGATGAAGGTGCCGAAGCACTGCACGGTGTAGGGGCAGTCGTGGCTCCCCCATTCTCTGTGTGCCTGTGCTATCTCAGGTGTATCTCAGATGTGTCTGTGCTATCTCAGGTGTGTCCCCAATGTCCCCAATGTCCCCAGGATGTCCCCATTGTCCCCATGTCTCACATTGGTGATGAAGGTGCCGAAGCACTGCACGGTGTAGGAGCAGTCGTGGCTCCCCCATTCTGTGTGTATCTGTGCTATCCCAGCTGTATCTGTGCTATCCCAGGTGTGTCTGTCCCTGTCCCCAGGATGTCCCCATTGTCCCCAGGTGTCCCCAATGTCCCCAGGTGTGTCCCCAATGTCCCCAATGTCCCCAGGTGTGTCCCCAATGTCCCCGTGTCTCAGGTTGGTGATGAAGGTGATGAAGCACTGCACGATGTAGGGGCAGTCGGGGCTCCCCCGTTCTCTGTGTGTATCTGTGATATCTCAGCTGTCCCCAGGTGTGTCTGTCACTGTCCCCAGGATGTCCCCATTGTCCCCAGGATGTCCCCAATGTCCCCAATGTCCCCAGGTGTGTCTCACGTTGGTGATGAAGGTGCCGAAGCACTGCACGATGTAGGGGCAGTCGTGGCTCCCCCATTCTCTGTATGTATGAAATCTCAGGTGTGTCAGTGCTATCCCAGGTGTGTCTCCATTGTCCCCAGGATGTCCCCAATGTCCCCAGGATGTCCCCAGCAGGTCTCACGTTGGTGATGAAGGTGCCGAAGCACTGCACGATGTAGGGGCAGTCGTGGCTCTCCCATTCTCTATGTTTATCTATGATATCTCAGGTGTGTCTGTACTATCCCAGGTGTGTCTGTCCCTGTCCCCAATGTCCCCAGGATGTCCCCAATGTCCCCAATGCTCACATTAGTGATGAAGGTGCCGAAGCACTGCACGATGTAGGGACAGTCGTGGCTCTGCTGTTCTCTATGTGTGTCAGTGCTATCTCAGGTGTGTCCCCATTGTCCCCAGGATGTCCCCATTGTCCCCAGGATGTCCCCAATGTCCCCGTGTCTCACGTTGGTGATGAAGGTGCCGAAGCACTGCACGATGTAGGGGCAGTCGTGGCTCTGCTGTTCTCTATGTTTATCAGTGCTATCTCAGGTGTGTCCCCAATGTCCCCATTGTCCCCTGATGTCCCCAGGATGTCCCCAATGTCCCCAGGTCTCACGTTGGTGATGAAGGTGCCGAAGCACTGCACGGTGTAGGGGCAGTCGTGGCTCCCCCATTCTCTATGTCTATCAGTGATATCCCGGGTGTATCTCAGGTGTATCTATGATATCTCAGGTGTATCTCAGGTGTGTCCCCAATGTCCCCAGGATGTCCCCAGGTGTCCCCATTGTCCCCAGGTGTCCCCAAGTCTCACGTTGGTGATGAAGGTGCCGAAGCACTGCACGGTGTAGGGGCACTCGTGGCTCCCCCGTTCTCTGTGTGTGTCTGTGATATCCCAGGTGTGATATCTCAGGTGTATCTCAGGTGTGTCCCCATTGTCCCCAGCTGTCCCCAGGATGTCCCCAATGTCCCCAGGATGTCCCCAATGTCCCCAGGTGTCCCCAATGCTCACGTTGGTGATGAAGGTGCCGAAGCACTGCACGATGTAGGGACAGTCGTGGCTCCCCTGTTCTCTGTATTTGTGATATCTCAGGTGTGTCTGTGCTATCTGAGGTGTGTCCCCATTGTCCCCAGGATGTCCCCAATGTCCCCAGGATGTCCCCAATGCTCACGTTGGTGATGAAGGTGCCGAAGCACTGCACGATGTAGGGGCACTCGTGGCTCCCCCGTTCTCTATGTTTATCCCAGGTGTATCTATGATATCCCAGCTGTCCCCAGGATGTCCCCATTGTCCCCAGGATGTCCCCAATGTCCCCAATGTCCCCAGGTGTCCCCAATGTCCCCAGGATGTCCCCAATGTCCCCATGTCTCACATTGGTGATGAAGGTGCCGAAGCACTGCACGATGTAGGGGCAGTCGTGGCTCTTGAGCACCACGTCCAGGTCCATCAGGATCCGTTTGTTCTCCTCGCGGTTCCCCGAGCGACGCATTTGCTGCGGGGGAGGGGAGG